TAAATGAAAAAATAGTTTTAAAAATCTGAAAAGTTACTGTTGTGACACGTGGCACAATCTGGAGTGTTGGAATTCAAATTTTTTTATATCCAATGGCAGAGATTAATTAATTGAATAAAAATTTAAAAAAAATTGTAAAAAATTCAAAAAAATTCAAAAAAAAAATCTGAAAAAAATTGTAAATTTTTTTTTTTTACTTCGGATAATGACACGTGGCGCAACGAGAACGATTAAAAATCTTTTCCGATATTACAATTAAAATTATTTTGTATTAATTTTACAAATAAAAAAAATACTAATATTTTATTGCCTATTGCCAGGGCTATTGAAGTGTAACGGTGGAGATGCAAATTCTATTGCCAGGGCTACTTACTGTTCATTAAGGGCAATTACTGTTCATTAGGTGGATTGAATAGTGTATTGCCAGGAGGGAGGGCTCCAACGCTGGAGTTGCTCTTATGACAAGGAGCCATTAGCTATTGTTTTTACCGTCTAACATTGGAGACCGTACCTGCTAGGCCAACAATTTTGGATGGTTACAGATCATAAGCCAATTAAGTACTTCCTCGAGCAACGAATTACAACCCCACATCAACAGAAATGGCTTGTCAAACTTTTGGGGTATAACTATTCAGTCGAATACAGACGGGGGTCTCAAAATGGTGCTCCAGATGCTCTATCTTGCTAAGCCGAGTCAATGCCACTGATGGGACTCTTATCTCCCATCTTTGAATGCATCCCTGCCTTTCCATAATAATATGCCACGGACCCTTCTATTAAAGGTGTGTGGCCTGCATTGTTGACTTCCCCAGATACAACCATTCACGGTTTTTCACTCCCTAATGAAGTCCTACACTACAAGAGATGAATTTACGTTCCTTCTACATCGCAATGGCGCTAAAAAATACTAGAAGAATTTCATTCTTCTCTACAGGGTGGCCACTCTGGGTTCCTCCAGACATATCACCGAATTAAACGCAGCTTTCTTTGGCCCGACATACGACGAGATGTCAAGACATTTGTTGCCCTCTGCACCGAATGCCAGCAGTAAAATCATGAGACCATCCACCCACCGGGTCTCTTGCAACCATTGCCAATTCTAACCGGCATTTGGCAGGATATTGCACTTGATTTCATCGACGGGTTGCCTTCATCCAATGGTTACATAGTTATCTTGGTAATGGTGGATCGCTTAACCAAATATGGTCACTTCATTCCCATCAAACATCCATACACTTCAGCTTCCATTGTAAACACCTTTATTAAAGAGATTTTTCGTTTACATTGGCATCCCCAAATCCATAGTGTCCTGATCGTGACCCAACGTTTCTTAGTAACTTCTGGAAAGAATTTTTCAAACACCAAGGTGGTAAACTCTGCCATAGTTCGGCATACCACCCTCAATCGGATGGCCAAACGAAAGTACTCAATCGCACTTTGGAGCACTACCTTCGCTATTTTTTTGCAGATAAACCAAGCAAGTGGTCCACTTTCCTTCCCTGGGCCGAATGGTGGTACAACACCACCTACCAGTTTGCCATCAAGATGTTGCCTTTTCAAGCACTATACGATGTCCCTCCACTATCTGTTCACACTTATCTACCTGGAACAACTGCAGTCCAATCGGTAGATGCCGCTCTACAAGACCGTGATCAGTTACTTCGTCTTTTGAGGACCAACCTGCAGCTCGCTCAAAACAGAATGAAACAAATCCATGATAAAGGTCAAACAGAGCATGAATTTATGGTCGATCTGTGGTTTTTCCTCAAGTTGCAACCATATAGGCAATAATCCGTCGCCATGCGCCATTCAAACAAATTCGCGCCTAAGTTTTATGTCCCATTTCAAATTCAAGAACGCATTGACTCTGTGGCTTATCATCTCTTCCTTCCACATGCCTCAAAGATCCACCCTGTTTTTCACGTGTCATTGCTCAAAAAGAAGGTTGGTGCAACGGTTCCTACATATCCCACCCTTCCGCCGATCGATTCCACTGGGTTCTTCCATTGGCAACCCGAAATAAAACTGGAAATAGGCATATTTAAGAAAAGGAAAATAGCAGTGACCAAATGGCTAATCAAATGGGCGGGACTACCAACAGAATATGCTACCTGGGAAGAAGCCGAAGATATCATTGCCCGTTATCTTGATTTTCAGTCCTGAGGAAAGGTCTCTTCTTAAGTGCGTGCGCGCAGGGGGGTGAGAGGAGTTGTTAGGACCATATGGTTTGGGCCTTTTAGCTCTTTATTCCAGCCATGATTGCTAGCCTTCAACTAAGTTTTGCTCAAAGCCCAGCTTGGTGTTAGGGTTCCCTTTTCAGATTGTATATAAATAATGTGTTGTAATCTGAGAAAGGCATGATGAATGAAATTGACTCTTCTCCCCTTTTCTGTCCTTGTTCTTCTCCTTTCTCCTTTACAATTTCTGCACGTATTCTGTCAATTCCTATCTTTCTCTGTTTGTGAACCGATTGGGAGTACCATGAACATTTTGCAGCAAGCTCATTGGACCTTGATATTACTCATGAGAGTCTTCGAGGGGTTTTTACAATCATGGAACTCACTCCTGCCTCAGCCCTCACCCCTCAGCAGTGGCAGGGGATGCTGTTCAAGGATATAAACTTTTTATGGCCTAGGAAACAAAAATGCTAGAGGAGAGGTGTTCCTGTTGCGAAAATTGCACCATATAAAGTATGCAAGCTTTTCTGCTGTGTTCATATCAAGCTATCTGTTTTAATTAACAGAACCAGTTTGAAAATTAATACTCATGGTAATTTCTTTCCTGCAGATTTTACTTCTTGTTGGCACTAAGTTGGAGCATGTAGTTTCTCAAATGTCTCGTGAGGTTGCTGAGAAATTTACGTTGCCATTAAATTCGAAGGGGACTTAATTGTTTATCCTTCAGAGGATTACTTTTGGCTCTACAACTCAGATTTGTTCCCTTTGTGATTTTACTGTTAACATGTTCTGTGATTCTTCTCAACTGGCATTTTCTTCATTAGCTTCAATTGAAAATCGAGAGTTCTAACTTCTGAGGTACCAGAGGACTTGTAGAGTGTCTGGATTAGTGGCATATTGTGAATCTAAAAGTGTTGAACAATTTTCATTTTTCCTGTTTCTTCACCAAATTTTTTTCGACTGGAATGTTTCGAACCACTGTGATCTTAAAATTACGGACTAATGACTTTTTATCTGATGAAAATTGTAGCACTTTCCTTAGTCATTTGATTTTGCGCACTGAGGAAAGTGGCTAACGTTATTCCAAGACTTATTATCTGCTAAAACCATGTTCATATAATATGTAAAATTGCTGCATTTGCTTTCTCTTTGTTATTATTCTTATGAAGTTATGGACAAAGATTTTTATGATTACTTGTAATTTCTGAACAGATGACTTCAGTTGACTTTTGTCTCTGTGATTGATAACCCTCGAGTAACTTGATGAACATAGCGTACCGAGCTTGCGCATATGGATGGTGTTGACAGTCCTATGGACTTAGTATTGTCTTAATGAAAGGAAGAAATTTTCGATGTTTTATTGGAGACGAGACTATGCAAAATCAGCTCCAGTATATCATATGTGCTTTTCTTCTGTTTTTCAGGGTTTCTCCATTTCATATTCACCATGAGCTTGTTAGCCATTCTGACATGATGGGAACAATGTCGTAAGAGTCATCTCCGTTGCGAAACAAAGTTTTCTCTTTTGCTTGTAAAATAGTAAATTCTTTTAGGTGGAATGCCATAACGATGTCTGTGCAGGTCCATATTGTGTACTGGGGATCACTCTTCCTGATGGTGTTTATTCGCCAGTGTCTCAACATCTTAGTATTCTACGGAGTTCTCGGGCCGGAAAGTTAACACCGTCTCCTTTGAGACACTTTCTTATGCCATTATAAGAGATGAAGGAAGTGGTGTCTGTTCATTTAAGCAGAAACTTCAAGCTGCAAACAAGAAGATCTTGGGAATTTATGGGATTCAGTGATAAAGTTAGTGGAAATGCACTATCGAGAGTGACATTATTGTTGTTGTTATCGGCAGTGGGCTTTGGCCAGAATCTAATGCTTCTCGAGGTACCTTCACTGACAAGTTACTTACTCCTACAAACATATGTGCATGCCGTACCGCATTTACTCCTACAAACAATAGCGCTTTTACTATATGAACAATAGTATATGAACAAAAGAAGAGTGCTTCCGTATATGCCACCTTCTTCATATCTCATATTATACTTCAATTTGTTAGCTCTGCTTTCTATTAAGAATTTAAGATTGTTTTATTACACGATTACACTCGGCCTATACCAGTAATATTAAGAATATTATTTAAAGTATTCTATTATAAGATTAGCCTAGGCCCTAGGATTTAAATCATTAATATCAATTGCTTTAATCACATGTGTTTGGTTCCCCTCAATAGAAAGTTAGATAAAAGACCCATAACCATTGACTAACATTTGCTTTAATCACATATGTTGTTTCCCTCAATAGAAAGTTAGATAAAAGACCCATAACCATTGACTAACATTTGCTTTAATCACATGTGTTGTTTCCCTCAATAGAAAGTTAGATAAAAAACCCAAAACCATAAGCATTTGTTTAATATTTTATTTCTTCAATTTAAACCCATTGACTACATTTTTTCTCCCAAAAAAAAAAAAAAAAAAAACACCCATTGGCTACATTGCTGCCCCCAATTTACTTTCCATATTAGATTGATGAGTAAGCTAATTTTTAAGTTGAGTAATTCTTTTTTTTTTTTTTTTTTTTTTTTTTTTTTACATCTGTTTTTCCCATTTGTGAGCAACGCATGGAAACCATGCATTATTAGATAGAATTATGCGAGTGTTGAAGTTGAGTTTTGACAATTTAGAATCACCATATTTGAAGCAATGTTTTCATATTGCTCAATGTTCAAAAAAGATTTTGAAATTCAAAGAGAGAACTTGATTCAACTTTGGATAGCTCAAGGACTACTCCACCCTGCACCCGATAAGATAAAAATATGGAGGAAATAGGCAATGAATATTTTGATATTCTACTGCAAAGCTCCTTATTTCAAGATGCTTCAATGAGTGACAGTGGCATTGTTAGCAAATGCAAGATGCACGATCTTGTGCACAACCTTGCAGAACTTGTATCCAAATCAGAAAGCTTGACGGGAGACTTCTGTGGCATATATAATACAAATGAGATTCGACATGTTGCTCGGGTTGCTACTTCTATGCTGGATAAAATTCCAGAAACAAGTGCTAAGAAATTGCGGTCAGTGTTTTTCGACGATGGTGAAGTTCCTAGTAACATTTTTCCACGATTCAATGCTTTACGTGTCTTAAATTTGTGTAATGCTAATATTGAAAAATTTCCAATTTCAGCTGGAAGGCTGAAACACTTGAGGTATCTTGACATTTCTGAAACAAGATTCAAATCGCTTCCCAAGTCTATAGGCAAGCTTTATAACCTTCAAACCTTGAGAGTAACAAATTGTGCCCTTAAAGAGTTTCCAAAAGAATTGAGAAACTTGATCAACTTGAGGCATATTTATTTTGATAAGAGTACGAAATTCCCACAGCCTTCAAACATTACCTTACTTTTCAGTGGGTAATGAGACTGGTAGTCGAATTGAAGAGTTGGCTGGCTTGAAACAATTGAAAGGTGAATTAATTCTTTGTAATATGGAACACGTAAAGAATGGAGAAGAAGCAAAGAAAGCTGAGTTAGAGGATAAGAGGCAAGTATGCCATTTAAGCTTCAAATGGACGGAAGATAGGTCAACAACTCACAGCAATGAGGAGGAAAATGTCCTAGAAGGCCTCCGACCGCATCCTGAGTTGGAGAGCTTAAGTATTAAAAACTTCATGGTCGATAAATTTCCATCGTGGATGATGGGCAAGTCATTATTGCTCAACAACTTGAAGAAGATTCAGTTACTTGGATGCGACAAATGTGAAGGAGTTCCACTGCTCGGCCATCTACCGAATCTTACAGAGCTTAAGATTAGCGGAATGGCTAACTTTAAATGTATTGGAGTTGAGTTCTATGGCTATGATCTTGTCAACAATGTAGCCACAACAAGTAAGGAGATAATTACCTTATTTCCTACACTAAAAATATTATATATTTTGAAGTGTAACAATTTAATTGAATGGATGAAAGCACCAATGATGTCAACTAAAAAAGTAGTAGTATTTTATTGCCTCGAGATGTTGACCATCAATAGTTGTTCCAAATTGAGAAATGCCCCTGATGTATTTGGATCTTGTGGTTCACTTCAAAGATTGGTTATTCGTAGTTGTGAAAAGCTGAGGCATTTGCCGAATGGGCTAGACACACTCCCTCTCCTTGAGGAACTGAATATATTAGGATGTCCTAGTCTAGATTGTGAACGATTGTCAAGCCTACCGAGTGGGTTAGAGTATTGCATCTCTCTCCAAAAATTGAGGATACGCAAGTACTATGGTGTAGCATCGTCTCCAGTTCACACCCCTGCATCTCTTCGCCAGTTGGATTTTTCAAATTGTGATGGATTATCTGGGCCATTGGGTGTATGGGCCTCTCTCGTGGAATTGAATATATTCAATTGCAATGTGACATCATTTGAAATTGAAGGTGGTGTCTCCCTTGCCTCTCTTAAGAAATTGACAATCGATGGTTGTGATGAATCGTCAAGCGTACCTGCTCTTCCACAACAATGTCCCTTTCTTCATGAATTGTATATATGGAATTGCCCAAAGCTAGCATCTTTATAACAAAAGTTTTCTTCTCCCTATTCTTTTAAATCAGTTGACTGAGTCTGGCAGTAGCTGGATGGAAGGTAGGCAGCACCTTACCAAATACAACAAATTTGTATTAGAAAAACCAAATTTCATGGTGTGCAAGGTCATACTTCTCCGAGATTACTTGTATTCCAGTTTTATGTACAAACGATTCCAAATGGCTCAAATTTCTTCTTTGAAATTAATCCATGTAAGCTTTTCAAATCCGCACCTCCTCTCTTCTAATTGATCAATGCATTGTACTGTTGACTTATGACGTACTATATATGTTGTGACTTTTTTTATAAAAAGAAAGCACAGTGGATCAAAAAAAGAAGTAAAGGATGGGTTTTGGTTTTTTTTTTTTTTTGGATGAAAGTACAAAAGTTGACAAATAAGTTATTTTTATTATCACTTTACAAAACAATGTTTTAAATGCGAATAACCCCGTTTTTCTCTTTTTGAAATAATGAGAGCATCTGGCTTCGTAAGTGCTTGAAACAATTTTTTCTGACTAATAGTAGTGCTTTAACTTTCTTTTTAGTCTTTCGGCCCCTTTATATTAAAGCAGAAAAAGTAAAGGATGGGAGATAGAAAAATGTTGATTACTTTTAACTTTTTCTGCCTTTCTTCTTTTTTGGTAGATATAAGGTCTTTCTCCTTAGTCACCACGTGCACTCCCCTTCGCCTGCTACGGTCTTCATCGTCATTAGCTTTACACTCCTCTTTTTACTATTGAACGAGGAGGATCCACGTCTAAAGTAAATCTGTCCTCAATGATTTGTTTTTGATCGGAATCTACTCCAAGTCTCAAATGATCCATTCTCAATTATTTGTCTCTGATAGGAATCTACTCCTCTATTATTAGATGCACCACGTTTTTCACGTTATGAGAGAGAATTTAAACACTATTGTATCTGGTATCTATGATCACATCATTCTCCATTGCACTTGTAGTGTATCGAAGAGAGGAATTTAAAACACTGATTCATTTCATGAAAGGTTTTTTTCTCTCTTGTTTATGGGAGATTTATCTCAACAAGATTTCTTATCTACAACAAATTTTTAAGTTAAACGTGTGAACAATACAACCGGGATGATATGAAGCATGTGTGGCCGGAAGAAAGTTGAGGTTTCACTAGAAAACTAATTAACAACATGAGAAGTAGCTCAATTTCTTAGAAGCACATGCAACATTTATCTTCCTATCGATGCGGGATTCATTCTCAACAAGAGTGGTGTGTTCTTGCAAAAGGATGGAAGGATTGAAAGAAAATACTACGGATATGTTGGAAGGAGAGAACGTATGCTTTGAGTTTGACATTTTAATTTTTTGAATAAGTGTAAAGATACCTTTACATGTTGAATTGGGTTTGTGAAGGTAATTTAGGTAGTAAGTTTAGGTTTAAAGAGTTATTGATAGTTTAATTAATATATGAGTTTAATTTCAGTCGTCGAATCAAATGAACTGAAGAAGATCAAAGGTCAAAAGTTAACAAAGTTGTTTTAGAAGTAAAAATCGATGCAAGGTAGCAACACCAACCTAAATAAAATTTCCCAAAAATATATATGAGTGGATTTAAATTGAAAATACTATAATGTATTTATTTTTAAATGTAATTTAAACTCCGGCTTATGTGAATTTATACACTATTTTCAATTTTTCAACATAAACTAAAATTTTAAGCCATCTGTCATATCAATTTTTCAAAATCATTAACTTTCGTCTCATCTTAACTCCGTTAAATTTTAGTTCATATGACAATTGAAAACAATGTATAAATTCATACAACATTTCAAAATTTTTTTTCTTATTGCAATGGATGAATTGCCCTAGTGAATATGTCATTCATCTTCAATCCACAGCAGTCATAATTCAAAAATTTTCCCCTCACCTTGCTCTAATTTAGAGTATTAATATCACTTGTAATTGAAAAAAAGAAAAAAAAACTCCTTTTATATATTAATTTGAGGAAAAGTTGAGATCTTATCATTCTTGTTCTTAACAAGAATATGCGCACCTACTGCAGCCAAAGCTATGTTATCCATGCCTCAATCAAATATCCCAAAGGCAAAGCTAGGGCATTGTCATGTGCTCTGACACTTTCATATTTTCTTCTTCTATTTCTCAAAAACCATCACTACTCTCCTGTGTATCCTAGAAATGTACATAATTTGATGAATTCAATTTCCAAGTTGTTTTGTTTTCATAAAATTTTTAATTTTCCAAGTTCCTAAATTTTCAAGGTAAAAAATCCGAACAAGTGGTTGGACTGGACGTAAGCCAAATTAAAAATTCTGATTTTCCTATCCGAACGCAACTTAACTTGGCAAGAGATATAATGGCGTTAGAGACTCCTCCCGTGCAATCGTTTGTACGAAAAAAAATAAAACACATTAACTTCTAGAGAGAAAGAAAAAATAATTTTTTTTTCGGTTAAAAAAAAAAAAAAGCTATTAGTGCTTTTAACTTTCTTTTTAGCCTTTCGGTCCCTTTATATTAAAGCAAAAAAGTAAAGGATAGGGGGATTAGCTTTTTATCCAACTTTCTGAAATTGTCTTGCATGGCATGGTGGAGATTCGTGTTTTACTTGGTAGAGATTAAGTCTTGCTAGCTACGGTGTACAGCTCTATTATTGTATGCTCCACGTTTTTCACGTTATAAGACAGAAATTTCAACACTCTATTGTATCTGTTATCTATCATCATATCATCCTCCATTGCACTTGTAATATTGTATCGAAGAGAGAAACTTAAACACTCTGATTGGCTGAGCTGAGCTGAACAGGGAATTGAAGGAATGGCAGCTGAAGCTGTGGTTACTTTTGGTGTGGAGGGAATACTGAGCAAGGTGCTTTCACTTGCTTCGAAAGAATTCAGTCTTGCATTGGGTTTCAAATCTCAACTCAGAAAGCTTCGATACTCATTAACCGACATTGATCGTTTCTTGGTTGCTGTTGCCGACCAACCACAAGGTAGTATATATTTCTGAACTCTCTTGTTGTTAATTAGAAAATATAAAGGAAAGTATGTTAGAGATGATTTAATTAGTGATTTGATATGATTTAATTAGGAATTTGATTAGATTTTGTCTAGGTTTTTTTGTCTTGTGGACAAAGGATTATTTTAATTTATTTTCTAGTATTGCTTCTTTGTAATTTTATAAATACTTAATAAGGAGAAGAATAAAAGATTGAGTTGTATTTGAAATTGTGAGATTGTGAAGAATTATAAATTTTTTGTATACCCTTTATTTTAAACTCTTATAATCTCACACTACATTTACAAGATTTTTAATTACCGTTCTCAAATACTTTTCTGTTTAACAGGTGGGCCAATAGAGGACTGGGTGAAGAAACTTAAAGACGTAGCTCATGATGCTGAGGATGTCTTGGATGAATTCGAGTACGAAGTTGCTCGGCGTAAAGTCGAAATCCAAAACCATATGAAGAAAAAGGTTCTTAACTTCTTTTCACTCTCTAATCCACTTGCATTTCGTCTTCAAATGGCGCATAAAATAAAGAAGATCAATGCATGCTTGGTGGATCTCAAGAGTGAAGCATCCCTTCTTGGACTAGTTTCCAGGAATAAAGATGCAACTCCTCGAGGAAATAGATGGGACAGACAAACCAACTCACTAATTGGCAGAGATGAAATAACTGTTGGAAGGGGAGAGGTTGTGACAAAAATAGTTACAACCTTGACCGACCCCAAGTACAACCAAGAAAATCCTGCTGTTATGGCCATCGTGGGAATGGGTGGCCTCGGAAAAACAACATTGGCCAAGTCGGTTTATAATGAGGATCTGATACACAAGCATTTCGAGACGAGAATATGGGTTTGTGTATCGAACACTTTTGATGTTGATTTAATTCTACTTAAGATGTTAGAACAACTCAAACCGGCAAACGCCCCTTCCTTGAAAGATAACCAGGAAGCTCTGCTTAAGTTCCTTAATGAAGAGTTGGAAGATAAAAGATACTTACTCATACTTGATGACGTTTGGAACGAAGATTCTGAAAAATGGAAGAATTTGATGGAATGTTTTTTTAAGCTTAAGTCTGATGGGGGATCCAAAATTATAGTCACTACTCGCAGTGCCAAAGTCGCATCAATCTCAGAAAAGCTACTTCCACGATGTGAATTGGGAAAACTTTCCGTGGATGAATGTTGGTCCATCATGAAAGATAGAGCTTTCCCCAATAGCAGTGCTAATATAGCTCATGAATTCCAGACAATTGGAATGGAGATTGCTGAAAATTGTGGTGGTGTTCCATTAGTGGCAAAGGTGCGTACGATTACGTATCATATGTTTGCACCTATTTTTTTTTTTACATGTTTTCATTTATAAATTAAGATAATACTTGCATTCAAGTCATGGGGTGCACCACCTTATAAATTAGAACAAGGTCTTGTGACAAATGTATTTTAACTGTAGAAATTTCATAATTGAAATTATTTATTTTCGTAATCACCATTTAAAGATCATCATTACGAAATTTCATTTCAAATGATATATATATTAGCTATTTGATATTATAAATGTTTTACTTGGTACCAACAACGTCAATTTGTTCAATACATATAGATGACTAAATGGTCTCAGATTTAATTGATATTTGGTAGCAAACAAACTGATTCAATCCCTTCGAACTTTAGTTATATTATTTGCAATATGATTTTTTTTAAATTATTATTATTAATGGGAAGGACATGATTCAAAACTATTACAATAATTTAGGAGAACGGAAGCTTTGAATCTGGGATGGATGAGTGAAAACTCAACACCCTATCCACTAGAATATAGCAAACTATTGCAAGATGATTGAATTGGGATCGAATTTTGAAAGTACAATGCACATAGATTAGTTTTTTTGAGGGTGTAAAAAGCTTTACCAAATGCAATAATTGGCATGACATGTACATATCACTAAAACATTATATGGTATATAAAATATGTGATTTTCCTAACATTTTCTTATTAATAAACCAGCTTTCGCAACTTATTGATTTGAACAAGACAGAAACTAGATAAAATTAATTCCGCCAGCAAATCAAGAATAAAACGTATTTTTAACTACTTAATGGGTTTTTGGGAATTTGGTCAAGCACAAAGAAACAGGAATCTAATATCATTTTGCACACTATTAAGAATTATAGTTATCACATTAGATTTTGTCCCTTTAGGCAAGGGGATTCAAAATTAAGTAAACAAAAACCTCTTATTTAATATGAGTCCCTCTTTTCTACATTATTTTTAGGATGCCTTCGAAATTCACTAATCCAATCAACAGGTTGTAGGAGGCATTTTGCACACTAAAAAAAGTATTGAAGAATGGTCGCTGTTTAAAGATAGTAGAATATGGGGCAACCTACCAAAAGGAGAAAATAGAATTATGTCAGTCTTGAAGTTGAGTTTTGACAATTTAGAATCATCATCATTGAAGCAATGTTTTACATATTGCTCATTGTTCAAGAAAGATTTTGAAATTCAAAGAGAGAGCTTGGTTCAACTTTGGATGGCTCAAGGATTACTCCACCCTGCACTCGATGAAGGTAAAGATACGGAGGAAATAGGCAATGAATATTTTGATATTCTACTGCAAAGCTCCTTATTTCAAGATGCTTCAGTGAGTGACAATGGCATTGTTAGCAAATGCAAGATGCACGATCTTGTGCACGATTTGGCAAAACTTATATCCAAATCCGAAATCTTGACGGGAGACTTATGTGGCATAGGCTCACTTGAGATTCGACATGTTGCTCATGTTTCTACTTTTGTACTGGAAAACATTCTAGAAAGAAGTGATGGAAAATTGCGGTCACTGTTTTTCAACGATGGTGAAGTTCCTTCCAACATTCTTCCACGATTCAAAACTTTACGTGTCTTAAATTTAAGCAATGCTAATATTGAAGAATTTCCAGTTTCAATTGGTAAGCTGAAACACTTGAGGTATCTTGACATTTCTAAAACAAGATTCAAAATACTCCCCATGTCTATAGGCAAGCTCTATAACCTACAGACGTTAAGAGCAACAAATTGTGCCCTTAAAGAGTTTCCAAAAGAACTGCAAAACTTGATCAACCTGAGGCATATTTATTTTGATAAGAGTACGAAATTTCCACAGGGGATTAGGCGATTGACTTGCCTTCGAACACTACCTTACTTTTCGGTGGGTAATGAGATTGGTCGTCGAATTGAAGAGTTGGCTGGCTTAAATCAATTGAAAGGTAAATTAATCATTTGTAATCTGAAGCACGTAAAGAATGGAGAAGAAGCAAAGAAAGCTAAGTTGGAGGATAAGAGGAAAATATGCCATTTAAGCTTCCAATGGACAAAAAATAGGTCAATAACCAACAACAATAAGGAGGGGGATGTACTGGAAGGCCTTCGACCGCATTCTGAGTTGGAGAGCTTGAGTATTGAAAATTTCATGGGCAATAAGTTTCCATCATGGATGATGAGTAGGTCATTACTGCTCAACAACTTGAAGAAGATTCAATTACTTGGATGCGACAAATGTGATGGAGTCCCACCGCTCGGTCATCTACCCAATCTTACAGAGCTTAAGATTAACGGCATGGCTAACATGAAATGTGTTGGAGCTGAGTTCTACGGTTATGATCATGTCCACAATGTAGCCACGACAAGTAAGGAGATAATTACTTTGTTTCCTGCACTAAAAGTACTAAATATTTCTAGGTGTGGTAATCTAATTGAATGGAAGGAAGCACCAACGATGTCAGCACAAAAAGTAGTGGTTTTTCCATGCCTCGAGAAGTTGACCATAAAAGGCTGTTCCAAATTGAGAAATGTTCCAAGTCATTTTCCATCTCTTCAAAAGTTGAAGATAATTTCTAGTGATAGTGGAAAGCCAATAGAAGAAATAAGCAGTGGATTAACAACTCTCAATTTCCTCATAATAAGAAGTATTCAGGAGCTTACTTGTTTGCCGCAAGGGATTTTGAAGAACAATAATAATCTCTCCTCTCTGGAGATAAGAGATTGCAATGATTTAACTTGTATTGCCCCCGATGTATTTGGATCGTGGGGCTCTCTTGAGAGATTGGATATTTGGAAATGTGAAAAGCTGAGGCATTTGGCGGATGGGCTAGATACACTCCCTCTCCTTGAGGAACTGACTATTAAGGAATGTCCTAGTCTAGAGCTGATTCCAATTACACATGGCATGGCATCTCTACGGGAATTAGTGATCGAGTATTGTGGACGATTGTCAAGCCTACCGAGTGGGTTGGAGTACTGCACCTCTCTCCAGAAATTGAAAATTTGGGAATGTAATGGATTATCAGGCCCACTGAATGTATGGGCCTCTCTTGTGGAATTGATAGTATGGAGATGCAACAACCTGACATTGATTGAAATTAAAGGCGGCATATCCTCTCTTCAGAAGTTGACATTCAGCAATTGCAAAGAATTATCAAGCTTACCTGCTCTTCCACAACAATGTCCCTCTTTGCAGCATTTGGAGATGAGTGAATGCCCAAAGGTAGCATCGTTTGGTGTCAAAAGTAGTGGCATTAGTCTACAATCTACTTCAGATTTGCGCACCATGACCTCCCTTCGAGTATTGAGTATTAGTGAATGCGAAGGATTGGAAAGTTGGGTGAGTGGGCTGCAATTCCCACTCTCTCTTGGGTCGCTGATAATACAAGGTTTCCCTAATTTAGAGATTCTTCCAAGTTTAGACAACCTCAATTCTCTCGGTTATTTGGAGATTAGAAATTGGCGAAAGCTAAAATATCGGCCGACGGGGTTACAACGGCTCCCGCGCTTGGAGTATTTGAGCATCGGTGGGTTCTGGGAGGAGCTCGAGTCCTTCCCTTTCCCTGATTTTCAAGTTGGATCATTAATGCACCTTGCAACCTTATACTTGTTTGGTTGGCCTAAGCTCAAGTCTCTGCCTCAACAAATTCAACACCTCACTTCTCTAACATCATTGTGGGTATATAACATTGACGGAGTGGAGACTTTGCCAGAATGGTTGGGTAGCCTTGCATCCCTTACAGAGCTGCAGATTTGGAATTGCAAGAATCTGGCCAACTTACCAAGTGTCCAAGCAATGCAACGCCTCACCAAATTACATACCCTGTTTATTGAGGGATGTCATCCCCTTTTAAAGCAACGATGCAGCAGGGACAGCGGCACAGATTGGCCTAAGATTTCTCACATTCCGTATATCGAAAGTAAGTTTTTAAATTCTTGAAATCAAATTACAGAGTTCATATTAATTATATGTTTGTCTCCTTTGTTCGTTTGAATCAGTCCGGAGTCATACAGCAGTCGGATTGAATGTACACAACCAATGAGTTGCGGAAAAACCAAATTTCATTGTGTGCAAGGCCACATTTCTCTGAGATTACTTGTATTCCAGTTTTATGTACAAACGACTCCAAATGGCTCCAACTTCCACATTGAAATTAATTCATGTAAGCTTTTCAAATCTGCATCTCCTCTTCTCTTCTAAATTTATTGTGCTGTTGACTTCTGACTATATCTGTTGTGTGTTCCAGAGGCATCTATATATCTTTTGGCATGCATTGGCGTTTTTCAGGATGCTCAATATGTGCAAACTGAATACAGGTACTGATGCACGAGATATTAAATTTCCCGCTCAACCTTCATTCTAAAAAATATACCTTAAGTTATAGTACTTATCAAGCTAGCAAGCCTCTTTTTATGGTACCATGTGGGCAGTCTCCTTTACATGCTATCTTTCATAGATCCGGCAACATCAATTCGATATGTTAACTTTCTTTACTTCATCTGTACGAGCGCTGAACCACTAGCTTAATTACCCGTTCATGGTATTCAAATCTTGTTAGAAATTTGGAACAGTAATGCCAATACTTGTGATCTTGTAAAACCATGTTCATATAATATATAGATTTACTGTAATTGCTTTCTGTTTGTTATTATCCTTATATAAGAAGGTTCTGGGCAGATATTTTTATGGTTACTTGTGATTTCTGAACAAATTTTTAAATCATATGGATAGTGATTTGAATTCAGTTGATTTCTTTATTTCTAATTCATATCCCTTGAGTAACTTGATGAACTGCCATTTACCTGTGTTATTGCATAAATTAGGTAAAGAATTCTCAGTTGCAATGCTGAGTTGGGGACTAATAATTTGGCGAATTTAAGAAATCTGCGGAAAGGTCTACATACCCGAAATTGATAAAATTCACCATTGGCGGGTTATGGGAGGAGCTCAATTCCATTCCTGATGTTCAAGGTTGATCATTGCAGCTTGAATCCTTACATTTGAAAGGGTGGCCAAAGCTCAAGTCTCTCATCAAATTCAACACTTAACTTCTTTAACTACTTTATGTATCAACTACTTGAGGGAGTGGAGGCTTTACCAGAGTTGTTGGGTAACCTTACATGCCTTATAGGGCTGACGATTAGGAATTACAAGAAATTGATGAATCTATCCTTTGCAAAAGTTATGCAACGTGTCGCCACTTTACTGTCGCAGCAAATTAAGCAATGTAAGTTTTTCAAACTCCACCTCCTTTTCTCTTCAAGTAATTAAATTGACTTACTATATATGTTGTGATTTCAGTAGGCATATATAATTTTTTTAGTATCCTTTGGCATTTTTCGTGATGTTCTTACTCAATTTGAACGATGTAGTTCTGTAGGTGCAAATAGGGTTCATGTACTGATGCATAAGACATGTTTTTCCAAAAAGAGTGGTGTTTCTTGTTTTAGATATTGTTTCGTCCTTCTTTCATCCACTGCATGCAAAATTTCTCATTCTACCCTGTACTTGCCTTACAGTCCTTTTCAAGCTAGCATGTAATTTCTGAGGTGGCTCATAACGTTGTTGTTGATAAATACATTGAAGTCAAAGTGGACTTGGTTGTTCAACCATCTGTCGGTGACTTTTAGTTCCACAGGCCCAGAATAGTTCTTTCTGATACACATTGTTTTGTTCCAAAACTTTTTAAGTGGAATTTTGCTTCTGTCCAGATTGATACGAGAGTGATATTGAGCTCATTTGAATGTGCTTTTAAAATGAATGAAAGCACTTTTGGTGAAAATGTTTTTGGAACCAATCCTTGGTAAAAATGCAAATAAATTCTGGAAAAGCACTTAAAGTGCTTCCTGGAAGAAGCACATAACTGGTGCTTCTTGCAGAAAGCACTTAAAGTGCTTTTGGAACCCAAAAACATTTTCTCTAAAAGTGCTTTCAGCCATTTTAAAAGCACATCCAAATGAGTTGTTGATTTTTGTGTCTTTCCTAGCGGAACATTCAAGGTCTTGGGACTTTTTGGTATTCACTGATGTTATTGCTGGTGTGTAACTTCGAATATATGTAAACTAAATTGATACTTTCGATTGTTATGACATACAAATATAAGTAAACCAATTTAATACTTTCGAATGCTATTCTTTTTTGTCAAAACAAAAAATAACGAAATCATAAACAAGAATGTTCTGCATAACGCCTATATACGTTCAGCGCGCGTTACACAATTTCGATAATTGGGTTGCCTCAGTGCTTGGTAATACTTTTGCAAAGCATATGAAATGTTCATTTTGCAGCAAGCTCGTTGGACCTCGATATTACTCATGAGAGTCTTCGAGGGATTTTTTCGTTCATGGAACCCACTCTGCCTCAGCCCTCAGCGGTGGCAGGGAATGCTGTTGAGGATATAAACTTTTATGGCCTAGGAAACAAAAATGCTAGAGGAGAGGTGTTCCTGCTGCGAAAATTGCAACATATAAAGTATGCTAGCTTTTCTGTTGCGGTCATATCTGGCTATCTTTTTTAATTAACAGAACCAGTTTGAGAATTAATACTCATGGTAATTTCTTTCCTGCAGCATTTACTTCTTGTTGGCACTATGTTGGAGCATGTAGTTGCTTAAATGTCTCGTAAGGTTGCTGAGAAATTTACGTTGCCATCAAATTCGAAGGGGACTTAATTGTTTATCCTTTAGAGGATTACTTTTGGTTCAACAACTCAGACTTGTTCTCTTTGTGATTTTAATATTAACGTGGTCAGTAATTCTTCTCAACTGGCATTTTCTTCATTATCTTCAATTGACAATCAAGAGTTTCAACTTCTAAGGTAGCAGAGGACTTGTTGAGTATTTGGATTACTGGCATAGGAGTACTTATTGTGAATCTAAAAGTGTTGAACCATTTTCTTTTTTCCTGTTTCTTCACCGATTTCTTTTCAACTGGAATGTGTACTCTAGATGTGAGATGGATTGTGATCTTAAAGTTACAAACTAATGACTTTTTATCCCGATGAAAATTGTAGCACTTTCCTTATTCGTTTGATTCTTACATAATGAGGAAAGTGGGCATATGTTATTCCAACACTTGTTATCTGCTAAAACCATGTTCATATAATATCTAAAATTGCAGCAATTGTTTTCTCTTCCAGCAAAAAAAAAAAGTTATTATTCTTATGAAGATTTTGGACTGAGATTTTTATGATTACTTGTATGCAGAGTGATTTGAATTCAGTTGACTTTTGTATCTGTGATTGATGACCCTCGAGTAACTTGATGAATAGAGTGTGCCCACACTATTGCAGAAATTAGGTAAATGAATCTTCAGTTCCAAGGTTTTTACTATCAGTTGAAAAGTTGAAATTTGTTGTTTATATTTTCTTAAGTTGTTTTGGTGTTATCTTTGTACAGGCAGAATTGGGATTTCGATCAACACTCATGCGTGGATCAGTATCATTCTTCAACTTCAATCATGTTTCCATATCATCAAATCTTAATTTGGATACAAATTGGTAATCTTTTATCTTGTCGATTACAACTGGATCAATATTCTTTGTTTGATACTTGTCGCCAAATTGAAATGCATCCTTATGAGTTTGCACAGAGATTTGAATTCAGTTGAATTTTGTTGTTGTGTAGATCTTTAGAAGATGGGGCTTCCTAGCATCCTTTGTGCCCTGCATTGCTTTCAAAGGAGATTGCAAGAAGCAGCCAACTGTTGTATAAAGGGAGAGCTTGAGATTAAAAGTGAAAAAACTATTGTACATTGTTATAGTAAAAATTGGAGAAACTACTAAATGTGGACATAGCCCTGCGTATTGAAGGTTCGTACAGTCCTATGGAAGGTCCGTACAGTTCTTTGTGCCCTCGTATGGAAGGTTCATACAATCCTATGGACTTAGTATTGTCTTTAATGAAAGAAAGAAATTCTGGATGTTTTATTGGAGATGACAGTCTGTAAAATGAGTTGCAGCATATAATGTGTGCTTTTCTCCTTTTATTTTACATCGAACAATCTAAACAAATTTTTTTTCTTCTGTTTTTCAGGCTTTCTCCATTTCATATTCACCTTGAGCTTATTAGTCTTCTAAAATGATGATAACGATGGCATAGAAGTCATCTCTGTTGCGAAACAAAGCTTTCTCTTTTGCTTGTAAAATAGTAGATTCTTTGACATGGAATGCCATAGCGATGTCGGTGCAGGTCCATATTGTGTACTTGGGGTCACTCTTCCTGATGGTGTTTACTCACCAGTCTCAACACCTTAGAGTTCTACAGAGAGTTCTTGGGCCGGGAAGGTAATACTGTCTCCTTTGAGTCAATTTCTTATGCCATTATAAAGGATTGACTTTTTTTTTTTTTTTTTCCTTTAAGAATTAGTCTTGTTTATATATAATAAATTGTGCATTGCAGATATGTAGTGTCTGTTCTTTTAAGCAGAAAATTCAAGCTGCAAACAACAAGATCTTCGGAATTTATGGGATTAAGTGATAAAGTTAGTGGAAATGCCACTATTGAGAGTGACATTATTGTTGTTGTTATCGGCAGTGGGATTTGGCCAGAATCTAAGAGCTTTAAAACAAATGTCTTGGTCCTCCTCCCTAAAGGCTGAAAGGTGCTTCTGAAGGTAGCTTCACTGGCAACAAGTTACTCCTACAAACATATGTGAATTCTCTACGCCATTTCCTTTATCTGCAGGTAACTTGCTTTTACTATATGAAGAAAAGAAGAGTGCTTCCGTATATGCCACCTTCTTGATATGTCAGATTATACTTCAAACTTGTTAGAAAGTTCATTGGCGTGAGTTGAGTGTAATCTTTAATACTCACTCTGAAAAGTAATTGCATTGTACCATCAGTTGAAAAGTTGAAATTTGTTCTCTATCTTCTTTCATGAGTTCTTTGTTATATTGGACCAGGCAGAATTGGGATTCCGGTGGAAACTCATGCACGAATCATTTCTCACACTTCCATGTTTCGTTCTCAAAATATCTTAACTTGGACAAACTGGTAAGCTCTCATTCCTTTTATTACACTGGATCAACATTCTTTGTTCAATACTCGTCAGAAGTATAACCTTATCAGTTTTAACACAGGCAAGCAGCATGGGTGATGGAACTGAGGTCTTGGACGTGCAAGCAGCAGCCAAACTGTTGGATACTAGACAAGAAAAAGAAGAGCGAGAGCTTGAGATTGAACCGTGAGAAAACTTTTGCACTGATACATGTCACATCGATCACTACTAAGTTTAGACCTTAGTCCTCTGTCTAGTTAATTTTTGCTACGCCTTGATGTCCAATTTACACAGGCTGCTTTTCTATGTAGGTAGCAAGCTGGAATTAGCAGCTCCTTTTCATCAGTCAACTCCGAGGCCTCAAACAAGCAATGTAGACTGATCGGATAAAGATAACTTCTTCATGAATGTTGTCAAATGGTTTCTACCACAACATATGAACAATTGGTGCTAATTCGAGCTCTGTAGCATTTCCAGTTCATCCCACTCCAACGGATGTTCAGATTCTCGGCTCATGATATTCAGTCAGATTGTAGGGTTCAAAACTTCAACTTAAAGTGCTCAAATGAAAGCCACTTCTTCATGAAAGTTCGTACAAATTGTGTCCACTTTAACATATTTAAAGTTGGTTATGATTTACTCACTGTGGAATTCTGTATGCTCAAAACACCGAAGCATGTTCTGAGGAAACTGTAGCAGCTACCTTTGGACTTCTAGCTTCAATGAATACTGTCGACAATAGGAGCAGAGGAAGGAAGAAAAAGCAAGCAAAGAAGGATTACTTTAGTACTTGAAAGCAAGTTGTTGCTTCCAAATAATTGCAAGACTTGATTTTCAGCTCTTATAATAGCAAGAAAAAGCAAGTCATTGCATAAGTTGTATGCTTAGCATGCTTTGATCTTTCGTAGTTCAATTATTTGTTTACATGTGATGCTTCGAATTCATGCTTTTAAGCGAAGAAGAATTTAACTATGATTAATGCCACTTTGTGAGTTGGGAATTGATAGATAAGTAGTAAGGAACTTCGAATTCATACAATCCCTATGAATCCGACCTCGTACTAATAACGCCCTATATTTCAATATATTTGTGTGCAAGTATAAATTTTAAAACATACACATTTTTGGCACCACATGTACTAACCTCACATTCCAACTCTCTTCACGCTCCACTTTTACTCTCAAAAATGCTCTCAAGCCATTGCAAATGTAACCTACATTATCATAGTGAAATCTAGATAAACTATTCAACGTGGACGTAAATGGAATGAATATGTCTATGAATATGTCTATGAATATATCTACTCAACCTACATTATCATTGGTTTTATGCCATAATGTCAGTATTGCAACCCCAATATATCATCTCACTCACACAATTTTATCTCCATTACCCATTTTTGGGAGTTGACAAGAGTCAACGCTGATGGCTAATAGGTTACGCTCACAAAAGTTCTTCTCACTATTCTAAGCAATGTCTTGATTCAACGCATTTTCTCAAGAGCTTAAATATCATATTTAATGATCGTTTGTCACATTTCTCCTAATGATAAAATCCATTCCATTCACATTTCCACAACAATTATTAGTTGCCCCATAACAAAAACAAGCCTTTGCTACAGCACATGCCCGCGCTTGTCCATGTGGCCATGTTCTGCTGTTTGTTAGATGCAGACCCTTTTATATTGCTGAAAAAGATACAACACCAACTTCTAGCACACTAAGGTCACCTCCAACCGAAAGATCTAGAGGATCGAAAATAGCCCGAAAATTATCTCCAACCGAGGATCAAGCCAAATGTCTCGTGAGCCCCACTGGACAAAAAAGGCACAAAGGGCCAATCGGCTGACCCAAATGCACCAGCCAGCCCGCTGGTTAGCCCAATTTCCTTTTTTTTTTCTTCCATTTGCCCAGCCCACTTTAGGGTTTAGGGCTTAGGTTTTTTTTTGTCCCATCCCGTTTTTTGTTTTTTATGCCCAGCCCACTTTTTTTTTGTTTTTTTTGTTTTTGGACTTTTTTTTTCAATTTTTAATTTTTAATTTTTTTCCTACATTATGTCTCACATATTTTTCACTATTCATACTATATTACTTCATTTTATTTCAATTCTTCACGTTTCATATTATAGCCCTTTGGCCCTCGGTTGGAGAGAGTTTTTTGTGACAGGGCTAAAACGAGCTCTATGACCCTTAGTTGGAGATGATAAGAACTATGGTCATGTACTGTTTATTAAAATATTAATTTTTTTTGGAGGGCTAGAGGGCTAAAACTAGCCCTCTGACCAGCCTTCGGTTGAAAATGGTCTAAAAAGACAGCTCCCGAATCTCATAAAAAAGTTCCTACTTACTACCAAAAGCTAAAAAAGAACTTGTTGAAAGTGATTGTGTGGAAAGGGTTGTGTTTCTTCATATTTTTGTGGACTCTCCATATCAAGAATCGCATAAATAGGGTCTTTTGGAGGAAGAAACTTACCTACATTTAGGGTAGTGGGAAGTTGCAGTGACTGCAGTGCATGATTGGCTTGCAATACTGACATCATAACATTTTGAGAAAGTTATTCTCCATTCTGGATGATGGTACTTTTTTTCGAACATGCCATGCATATTACCAACTAGTTCAAATTCAGTGGCCATCTTACTGCTTCTTTTTTTATCTGACAAACAACATGATAATCAACACTAAATTCATTTAAATTACGGGAAGAAGAATTCAAACTTTAGTGCAAGAGAAGCACACTATAGTCAACTTGCTTAAGCCCAGCAGGACATCTTACTTGATAAAGCTTTCTCGTTTTTTATAAATATATATATCATTAAGGTTACAAGTACAACTGAGAAATTGGTTACAACCTGAATGAGGTGAATATCATTTCTCCAAGAAAACTCAAATGTGAAAGGCCCAGCGGGTGTTTTTTTAGCTCACCTCAGCAAACCTCCACTTCACAACAACTCTTTGCTTTTACACTCAGAAAAGTTTACGGGAAAAAAATGACAGATAGATATACAAATTTTTACCAATAATGTAGAGGAATATCTCTAAAATTGACCCCCGGAGAATGTCTGACCAAACTGCCAATTACCAGGCGCGACGTTGTAGCTCGTGACGGTTCTACCGTCACTGGTGGTGACTTGGAAGGAGAGGGCTTGGCCATTGAGGTAAGAGTTGCTCTGCCAGTTTTGACCCCAGTTTCTTGACATGGGTTGCCACCCTGTTCTGGACCCCTTGATTGAAACTGAATGGACGTCTCCTGCCCCAGCCACGTTGGTGATCAAAACCAGGTTGAAGTAGGAGTGGCCGTTGATGGTGAATCTTATTCCTCCTTTCTTCACACAAGGTACTCTGCCAAGACAAAACACAATTATAATCGGCTAATGTTGCCTTTTCAAATATTTGACATGTTACGTTGTCACTAACTAAAAGCCATTTTCAAAAAAGAACTAGCTTAATTATTTAGATTTTCAGTTTGACAACATAATATCTTAAAATTTTCGGTTATAACCTATTTTCATAGTAATTTCACCTTGATTAAACTCCGTTTCATATTATCTACTAAACTTGTGATAACCAAAGAAATGTTCTTCTTTAACTTCAAGGCCTACCTTCTGAAGGAAACCGGCACGATTCCAGCACGGTATTGGGCAATTTGCAAGAAAGCAGGCTCAGCCAAATCGAAATGCTGGAGAGGAGGATTGCACCATCCGCCATTGTCGTTGGACTGAGCAAAGTTAGGAGGGCAAAAGTTTGTAGCAGTAACAATGATGGATCCAGGACGGCACCATCTCGGGTCATTGTCGCATCTCATTTCATAACAAGACCCACAGCTTAAGCCATTGTTGAACAATGCTGTGCTCAAAGCTGCAGTGTTGGTTCCATACCCCTGGCTGTACAAATTCCCATAACCACATGCTCCTCCTGTAAAACCCAAATCAAATTAATATCAAACCCCAACGATCTTAAATTAAACAAATCTTTTTCTTTCGTTACCGAAATGTTGTTTACAGTCCCAGTTTTGGCTCATTTGGATTGTTTATATTCTATATGAGAAACACTTATGCTCATAAGCGCTTTCATTAAAAAAAATATAAATATATATAATTATCGTCATTAAAAATTTTAGTGCGTTTTGGAAAAACACATGAAAATGCTTATTGAGGAACCACCTCCAAAACCCATAAAGGGTACTTTATAAGCGATTTTAGTTGTCTAAAAACGCTTCTGTTTTTTTTTTTTTTCTTTTATTGTGATAAGTAATTGACAGTTGAGTTTTGAACTTACCCATTGTGCCAGAAGCATCACCGCCACCGTAAAATGTGGCATGAGCGCCTTCCCAGCTACCATAAACAGCAAATACACCATGCAGATGTAGATTAAAGAGAACAACAGAGAGGGCTATAGGAACAAAAGACAATGCATGAGCTGCCATTTTTGTGGCTTTTTGGTGGGTTTTGATTTCAATAGGGAAAAGAAAGAGAGGAGTTTAGTTTTTGTGTAGGGCAGGTGGAGTTTGCTCTGTGCTTTACAGTGCACGAGGGTTCCTATATTTATAAGGAAACTTGGGAGGATTGTGAGTGAGTTTGTTTGCATATTATTTCACAGAAAACAGCCACAAACAAGTAATTGAGAAAACCAAACGCACATGCCCTGGTTGTGGTTGGGGTTACCAACCGATATCCCCGTGGGCCAAACTTTCCACATGCATTTCTCATCCATTAAATCTCTTAAAAATATATATATTCTGATTTCTTTGACTGCATTGAGATGGGTCCCTCAACACATATGAATTTTATCTTTATTAGAAAGATGTTACAAATGTGGTATGAAAAATATGGTAAAAGTAATATTTTTATTTTTATATTTAAAATGTTGTCAGGTATTTGAATTTGAGTGGACTGTTTCAGTTAAATTAGACTAATAATGTCTAGTTGTTGCTTAGTGAACTTATAAATGTTAAGACTAGACTTACGTAGTGAATTGGATATCAATATATTGGGTCTTACAAGTCCCGTCTCAAGATGTAGGAGTCTATAAAATTTTATTCTAGTCAGTTTCAATCTTGTTTAATTCTTGTCATCAAACAGGCGTGTGAATGATGGTAACTTAGGAGTGTGAATAGCATTTTCTTTTAGTTTTTAGTGCTTAACTAATTTTGATTAAAAAATAAAGGTGATAATTCTTAGTTTGTGGCCCAAGAAAGTTGAAAATCCCCTTCCATTTGTTGAATAAATGGTAGGTAGTCTTAACAGATAATGGTATCTTTGCACATGGGAGAAATTTTTGCTTAATCAAAACATGGAATTTTTAAGTATTTTTTTCTCTAATCTTTTTCCATTTATGAACATTCTGATCCTTAAGAGAGAAACAAAGTTAAGGGCATGATATAAATAAGGTTGTAAGTAGAGGTTTCAAATCTGTGCAGAATGTGATTAGCAACTTGGAGTAGTCTTGAGTACTGCTCATGGTGGGAAGTGGCCGAGTCCCACCCATTATTTCGTTTTCGTGCTTCCATTTGGGTAGTGCATGTGTTATGTTTTGACACTGCCCCACCCCACACACATCTCTTCTCCCTTGAATAGTAACATAGCATTAACTTATTTAAGGCAATAAATTAAAGTCTTTACTTCCAAGTTGATCTTCGCTCGGTGCGGTTTCTCCTTTGTAGACGGTCGGACGCCTTCAATCGTTCTCGTTCAATAAAATAGCAACTGAGTGTCACTATATCAAATGATTACAAATTAATTAGATATTGATTATGTCTAAAATAAAAGGGCTTCAAATTACAATAATAAATAAAAACATTGTTATGTCCTGATGTAAGCATATTCTGAGAAATTACTAATGCAAAACATTTATTCTTTTTTAAATGACAAATTTTGTATTTTATGGACAATAGTATTAGGACTTTATCGATTAATTGACGTTCGGTCTAGAAAATAGCTGTGTATTATGATATGAGTAAGTAAAGACAATAAATTTCTAGTCTCTTAT